CCTGTGGGTCTCGGATCTCCTGACGCATACTGAGATAGGCAGTCCAAGTTGCCGGTAGCTGGCGATCAACTTCGGCTAGAGGACCCTGCCTGTAGTATGGTTCAGTGTCAAACACTGGGTCTTCTTGCTCGCTCTCGATGATCATGTTGTGCAAGATGACACAGCAAGTCATGATATCCCACATTTGATCTTTCGACCAGGTCTGAGCGGGGTACCGAACAACAGCGAATCGAGATTGGAGCACACCAAATGCCCGCTCGACATCCTTCCTGCAAGCCTCCTGAACCTTCACAAACCAGGCGTTCTTGCCTCCTGCCACAGGGTTTGAGATCGTCTTTACAAATGTCGACCATCTCGGATAGATGCCGTCAGCTAGATAGTACCCCTTGTTGTATTGGTGCCCATTGATCTCGAAGTTCACCGGAGGAGAATGACCCTCAACGAGCTTGGAAAAAATAGGAGAGCACTGCAACACGTTGATGTCATTGTGAGTTTCTGGCATACCAAAGAAGGAGTGCCAAATCCAGAGGTCCTGTGTGGCTACCGCTTCAAGCACCACACTGCAACCGCCTTTGGCGCCTTTGTACATCCCCTGCCAACCAAATGGGAAGTTCTTCCATTGCCAATGCATGCAGTCGATGCTTCCAAGCATCCCAGGAAATCCTCTTGCTGCATTCTGGGCTAGGATCCGAGCAGTGTCTTCCGCATTGGGTGTTCTCAAGTGTTGTGGCCCAAACACTGCCACCACTGCCCGACAGAACTTGTAGAAACACTCTATGCTGGTGGACTCGGCCATGCGCCCATAGTCGTCGAGTGAATCACCGGGAGCTCCATATGCAAGCATCCTCATCGCTGTCGTGCACTTCTGGATGGAGGTGAATACAAGAGCGCCAGTGCAATCCATCTTGCACTTGAAGTAGTTGTCAAACTCCCAGACGGAATTCACAATCCCGAGGAAGAGCTTTCGGCTCATCCGATAACGGCGCCGAAATGTTCTCTCGCCATGAAGTGGAGCATCGGCGAAGTAGTCGGAGTAGAGCATGCAGTAGCCTTGCAGACGATGTCGGTTCTTTGCTTTCACCCGCCCCGGCGCCGAGCCACCTCGACGCGGCTTTTCATTGATCGCCAGCAGCTGGGCGAGGGCGGCGAGCACCATCAGATGCTCTTCTTCCTGGACGTCGACCATGGCTTCCTCCTCCAGCAGCGCGGCGAGCTCTTCCTCCTCATCCGAGTCCATCGCCGAGACAGTCAAAACGCCGAACACCTTGCGCTCGGTGGGCGTGTACCCGCCGTTAAACCGCGCCTTCGCGGCCGGAGACGGCGGCCGGAAACGACCAGCTGCTGCGGGAGGGGCTGCCGCGGCGAAGCGCTGCTATTTTCCGGCGGGGAATGGCTGTCTAGCGGAGTAGGCTAGCGGCCGTCGCCGGGATGTAGCTAGTGGTGGCCGAGGGCGCGGGGGGTGCGAGGCAAGTCGGGGGAAGAAAACCTTGACTTTTCCCCTGTCGGTGTAGGCCAGGCGTGCTTTTCCCTAGTGCCGGAGCCCCCAACGGCTCCCCAGCGCGCCGGGTTCGGCCTGTGACCGCCGGGCGAAAAAAAGGTCCGAGCGCGACTGAGCCGTTTTTTTGGCGCCGGGGCGAAAAAAACGCCTGGAAAGGCCTTCCTGGGGCGCGGCTGGAGATGCCTAAGTGTCAATCGGCTCAAGTTTTGACCTATGATAAATTTTTCTCTTTCTAAAAAGAAAAAAGGAAACGCAGCGCTCGCGCGGCCACCGCCGAGTCGCACGCATCGGATGATCAATCTCCAGAGTCGAGATTCAATCGCTCGCGCGGCGCCGCCGTTTGCCTCCCGGGTCCCCAGCCGCTGCCCTCCTCTACTGTGCGTTATTCGCCCGTGTGGCGTGCCATCCCCTGCTGCCTTCGCTGCCGCTGCCGCACCTTGTATTTTTTTAATTTTCTTTGATGTTTTTTCTGTTTCCCCTGATCATTTTCACTTGTAGTCTTGTACCATGTTCTACATATATCAGTGTATAAACTGCTTCGAACTGAAATTTAATTGAAATAATATGTGTGTGTATGCATCTAGTCATATATCTAGGGTATTGTTGGATTCAAATTGATGTAATTGCCAATTTCATTTCATATATTGTAGAAAAAGAAGATGAATAGACTGGACTCGTAAAGGGCTTTTGCCTCGTCGAACCGGTAACTTTTTAGATTTGTATCAATAATAATTGTTTCAATTGATGTTTCTGCCTTTTCTTACGATTTTTTTATGTCTTGAAGGTGTTTGCTAGTCTCCACCGTTGATGAGGTTATGCGAGTCACTGATGATGCAAATCACTGATTTGGTACTCTTTTTTACCATGCACTGTACTTCTTAGTTTTTGTCATGTTTTCATCTATTTTGTTGTATCGTTAAGTATTGAGTTTAAATTCTCAAATTTTTGTGCAATTGAGCCATATTTTGTATAGGGTATATTTTGAGGTAGCTGCAGGCCTTATGGACGTTAATTTTTTTTCCTCCCGGCCAAAAAAATAGCAAAAAAAACTTAGGCCCGGGGCTTGCTCCAATCCTGGCTCCGCCACTGCCCGTAGGTGTACCATTTTTCTTTAGAGAGATATAGTACATGTCACAGTCCTGATTGTGTTCATTAGTAAAAGAAATTACCAAATGAAAATTTGTAGAATAACAATAGGCTGATACGGGGAAATCGCTATTAGCGCAAAAAAAATTGAACACCCAAAGTAAACTCCTGGATCTGCCCCTTTATTGATATTGTTCTTTTACGTCCCAAACCACAGAAAAATCCACTATGACAAAGCTCAATAGTGAACAGTTGATCATCCGGCACAGTATTACAATCGGTAACCTTAAATATTCAGTTTACGCAATCTTTAGTTGGGGAGCGTTGGAACACTTGGATGCACTTGCTACGGAGATTGATGGATGTTTAATTATCCGACCAACCTGATTCGTTTCACTGAAAGTTAGCTAGAAACAAAGTTTTTATGGTCAAATCTATGTATATGGATTTAATTAATTCTGGCCCAATCCCGAGATCGATACATATTTAGAAAGTTAAGATTTCCTTACGCATTAAAATCTTCATGTGGTTTGTCCACAAGCAAGTGATTCTCACCAAAGATAATTTACTAAAGCGACGTTGGGTAGGCAGTACACGATGTTGTTTTTGTGATCATGACGAAACAATACAACACCTTTTCATAGATTGCCCTCTCCCGAAATTACTTTGGCAAACGCCTTTAACATTATTCCTTCAGTTAGCATTGAATCGTTATTTGGGACGTGGTTAGCTTCAGTAGAACATACCACTATGTCTCGTATTCGAATTGGAATATATGCGCTTATTTGGGCTATATGGAACTGTAAGAATGATATGATTTTTAACAGAAAACATATTTTAACCTTCTTGCGGGTCATCTTCAGAGCTACGGCATGGATCCGTATGTGGTCCTTACTCACTCCTATGGACTCCAGGGAGCCTTTGGTTACTGGGTGCAACCAGTGGGAGATGGTAGCACGGGCTATTTTCAACCTGTTTGGTTGACGGTCTCATAATAGGATAGGAGTCTAGGGATCTTGTCCTATTATACATACCGGTTGTGGTATTGAGTTTTTTATGTTTTCTTTGCTCCGCTTGCCAGCTGTAAATAAATCTGTGACTTTGTGCTACTTTGAGACTTTTAATACTATGGCTACATGCATTGTTCAGATGCAGAGGCCTGGGGCAAACCTCCTTTCCCAAAAAAAATCCAGACCTACAATGCAAAATAAATTGAGCAAAGGTTGAGTTTGTGCACTAAAACATAGCATACTTTCAGATAGACTGCAGGTGTCGTTTTTTCTTCTTGGAGGCGTTGCCATGGCCTTTAGCTATGCCCCTCTTCGAGCTCGGGGAAAACCCTAGGTCTGGCTACTCCAGACCGGATGGCGAAGACGTCTCGGCGTCACGTTCCTTCTTGAAGGCGCTTGCTTGCTCGCGATGTCCCCGGTGTTAGATTTGGTGATGTTGGGACTCATTGCTGGGTCGGCTTTGTCGGTTCGGGCTTGGTTGGTTTTAGCTGTGTTGTTCCCCTTTTCGGGCCGAGCATCCCTTGTCTATCTGCTCCGGGCATCATGTTCACGCCTGGCTGCATTCGTGTAATATGTGGTACCGTCTGTTGTACTCATTCTACTCCTTCTATCAATAAAATGGTACGCAAGCTTTGTGTATTTGTGAAAAAAAAAACAATGTAAAAGTTCTTTTGCTGAATAAACATTGCATATTCATTTATTGCACATACATAGAGCATACTAATTCAGTTATTTATTGCACTTCCATACAGCAAATGTAATGCTTTTGCGCTTACAAATACCAAGTATTCAGTTTCCAAATTTAAGGTTTTGCACTTGCAAAAACTGAAGTTTTGCACTTGCACATAGTAAAGCTTCAGTCGTTTCAGTTAGACAGAGATCAATTGTTGAAAGTGCGTAACTTTAGCAAAATCGTAACAAGAATTTATTACTCTTTTGGTGATAAAAGTGAGGTGTTGGGGAGGATGGCTGGATGTCGATCCAAAGACTTTAAAAAGTGTTACTACAGTGATTCCCTTGGGCAGAACGTGTCCTCATTTCGAGAAAGAGACTAATTTTGAGGCTAAAGGATGTTACTTTCGGTAAAAGGCTATCAGAGTTACAGCGTGGAGCGATTGCAAAAATTTGCATGATACTGCTCCGAAATGTGCACACGATTCTGCAATAGAATTCAAACCGCTGACACCATTCACACCACAAACAGCCTCACACCGTAATAGAGGTTCTGGGTATATCTATCTACACAACAGAGCACACCTATAGTTCAGACTTCTTGTTGTTGTAGAGGCTCTGGGTATATCTATCTACACCACACAGCACACCTATAGTTCAGAACACGACAGTACAAAAAGAGAGAACCTTAATTACTGCTCATCTAATCCTATGGCTCTCACAAGCACTACAAATTAGACTACTTGTTGCTGTTGGCATTGCAATACATGCTCCTCCTCCTCCTTAAGCCATGTAATCCTCCTGCTTTGGATGAAATCTTCGAACTTCCTGTTGAGCTCGTCCATCTCTAGCTTCTCTAGCTCCTCCTCAGCTACTCCGCCGCAGGTTTGCTCCGTCTCCAAGGCGACGATGTTGGCTTCGTCTCCGTTGAGCCCAGCTGTTTCGAGCCGCGACGACACCGGTGCTTCTTCTCGTTTAATCCCTTGCTCTCCAGGAGAATTCGTTGATGCACCTTCGGTGTTGTTATAGCAGTAGTAAAGGTTCCCTGAATAAGAAGCACATGGTCGAGCTTGAACGGCACATGGTGGCAATTCAGAAGCCGTGACGACATCGTCGTCGCTCATGGATGTGGTGGCCATGCTGGAGACGCGGGGGAAGAAGCAGCGGCAGTCGGCGGCGAGGAAGAGGAAGATGGCGTTGGAGAGGCCGAAGAGCGCCTTCTTGGTCGTGACAAAGCCGCACAAGGCCGCAAGGCGGGCTGATAGGGCGGCACCGGAAGGGAGAGAGGAAGAAAAAGCACAGATAGCGGCGGCCACGAAGGATGACGACGAGAAGAGGGAGAAGAAAGCAACGGCGGCGAGCACGAAGGCGACCTGCGAGACACCGACAGCGGCGCTGCTGCGCGTGCCCGTAGTAGCCATTGCGGCGTCTCGTTGGTCGCCGCATTGCTGGTGCTGGTGTACATGCATTATGTGATCCATGCTCGCTTATTTCCTTGCTCTGAGAGCATGCAGGATTACTCAGAAGGGGAGAGGAAGGCTGTGTGTGTGTGTTAGTGTGAGGGTGTTGGTGCTCCTGAGGGGAATCAGGTGTATGTACGGTATTTATACTAGTTTTCACCATAACTACCGTGCTGGGGACTATTATCGTACAAGTCGTGAAGCAATGAGTGATACAGTACATGTTTGTTGGCTGGTTTCCTTGCCGGGATCTAAACAACACAAACAAAGAGCAGGTTGAGATGCTTGTATTGCTTGTGTACTTTCCTTGCAGTTGTTTAAGCAGCGTTGCCACCTATAGCTAACTAAAGCCTTGTCATCTCCTTGGAAGTGTCATGGAACTTGCTCGTGCCTCCTATATTACGAAGTAAAGTAACTAATTACGTAGTTAATACTGCTGCTGACAGCGACAGGTCCAGTAGATGCAGTGGAGTTCACGGCTGACAGCGACATTCTGAGACTCGATCAACTCGTCCGTCGTTACCACAAGTTACTTCTTTCAGCTCAACGCAGAAATTGCAGGCCACGCAGGACGGCAGGATCTGTACGCAAATGCAGGCCCCGTCAGAGTTTCGTCGGCGACAGTGATGTCATTCTTCAGGCTTCTGAGCGAGTGGAGTGATGACGGGGCAGGGGCAGGAAAGTGCAGGGAACATTCAGTTAGACCAACCAGCAGCAACAGTAGCAGAAGAGCAATTGCTCGGGACAAAAGGCCGTCTGATCATGATCGGAATCATGGATGCAGCCGCTGGCCGGAACCAGAGCATGTGCGTCCTCACGATCCGGATCCCTCGGGACAGGACTCTGGAGCCTGGAGTATTACGTACTAGATTAATCCATTGGGTCGCCCAGCGACTCGCTACAATGCATTATACTTTTTGAGAGTTCAGGCCGTGCTTCATCTTGGCAGGCGACGCGTGGTGGTGGTGCTAGATCGCCGCGCGACACGTACAGGCATCAGTATCTCGGAAGATCGAGTTTATCGATCGGCGATGCATGGTCATGTCTAATGATCGTGGGCGTGTAGGAGGAGCATGTCTGGAATCAGGGTGTGTGCAAGGGAGGGTAGTCCGACAGTCCATGATCCGGCCGTCTTTTCCCTGTCCCGTGTAGGTCTATAAATCGCAAGACCACAGTCCACGGTTCAGACCACGCCAAGTCAATATACTTCTTTACAGCAAAAAGAAAAGTAAAAAAAAAAGACACTATATATACTTCTGGGTTACAAGGGAAAAAGGATAACAGCATCACGAGTAAATCTATTCCTACACACACACACACACACACACACACACAAATAAAGGTCTCAGTGCGTTTTTCAATTTTTTTTGGTCTATATAATCATTTTCTCCAGTCCCGATCTGAGGCGGTAATTAATTTTTTTGGGGGTAGGCCTCCAAATCGTGTAGTCAATCAGCTTGCTCCATAATTTTTTCCCTTCGATTGGGCCACGGGGAGTTAGTCTCCTATGTGGCCTAAGTGCCTGCTCCACGTCTTTTTTCCTTTGATTGGGCCACATGTAAATAATAAATGCACAAAAAAAATCAATGCTTTTTGTGTAACATACGCTCCGGGTAAGCCGACTACAATTATATAATGCATGTTGTGTTGGGCCTAGGCCTAAAAAAACCATCAACTCAATAAGTCGGCTCCTCCTCAATAGGTCAAGCCAGCTCCAATGGGGGAGCGTCGTCAGCGGCTCATTCTGTCGGCAATAGTGGTTATTCGATGGTCTTGGAATCTCGATGTAATTTTTATTACATTTGAAATGTTTTGTATTTCTGGTGAAATTTTATAATAGACCTGATGCTCTTCGTCAAAAAATAGACCACCTGCCCCCCTTAGAACCCAAACCATAAATTTATATACGCCTTAGAGTTACTGGTTATCGATCAACTCAATAAGTTGGCTTGGGAATCAATAAGCGGGGGATGACGATGATGACGTGAGAAGGAGAATCAGTCCAGAGGAAGAAAGGAAAGACGGGCTCACCATGTAATTTGGTCTAATGTGGTCTAGTTAAGTGGTGGGCAATTAAACGGGTTGTTATGTAATTAGATGAGGTAGCAAACTGTGCATATTGGGATTCAGTAAATGGTGTGTAATTAAACGGAGGTGGATAGAAGAATCCATTGATAAATGTGAAGCTCTCCGACGAAGAGAAAGAGGACAATAGGGTGGGTCAGACGGAAATAAGTGGACGCATGAGACGGGTGTTGCAACGCATAAGCATTTGTGCTAGTAACATAAAACTATCACAATTCTCATTAGAGTTATTGGTTAGACTGAACCGTTATGACATGTGAGCCCATAATATATGTGGCACAAAAAGTCAACCCATGCCGTCGGCCTTGCTACTTTTCAAAAACAAAGCCCTGTCGCCGTGGGCACCCATCCCATTCCCACTTCACTCGTTGTCCTACCACAATAGGCCAACGCACAGGCGAAAGGTATCTCTTCTTTCATCCACTCCAGCATCCACCTCCCCACCCCACGGACGGAATCCACCTCTCCACGTGGATCGACCTCCCATCTCCTCCATGAATCCCACATCTGCCTCTCGCTGTGGCAGGGATGTCACCCCGTCGAAGCCAGGCACCTCCATCTCCTCGTATTGGCCCTGTGATGGGTGGCCGCCGTATTCTTCTAAGCCAACCAGTGTGCTGCCAGAGCTCAGGGCATGACGGTGCTCTTGACACGTGCTCTTGTCGCGCCTGTGGTCAAGGCCGTGCCGCCGCGCCTAGGAGGGAGAGCTGTGGACCATATCGGCTGCCATCGTTGATTCATGTGGTGGAGGACCGGCGCCATGGTGTGCTCGAGCCGAGCTGAGGGTAGGAGGAATAGATGGGTGGAGGAGGAGTCAGAAAGAAAGAGGGGTCACCACGTAATTTGTCGATGCCAGGGAGGTCGCTGTGATGTGTTGTGGCGGATCTCAGGGTTTTGCAGGGATAAGAAGTTCACTGTGCTCACTAGAATAGAGCGATCTCTGTACGCATAGGCACAATTGTGTCTCCTGCGCCTATATATGAGTTGGTACTGCCACTTCATCTTTAGAAGGATGGTTGGACTAAGGAGGACAGGCCCAGATTGGGGCCCCTTGGCTTTGGCGGCTCTGGGCGGCCGCACCCTACCCCCCTCAAGGTCGGGCCTCGCAAAAATTAACTCAATTAGATTGAATCGTTAAGTTGGTTGTTATGATAAAGATGCCCTGCATGTTAGTTTTAACTAACATGCAGGGCATCTTTATCATAACGGCCAACTTAACGATTCAATCTAACTGAGTTAATTTTTGTGACACGTCAGCCCTAGCGGGTGGGCTAGAACTGTCATAATTGCGCTTAGTTTGACCCTCTTTGCATCGTACAGTATTACCCTCAGGATGGTAGTTAAAAAGTGGTAGTTTTTGGAAACCCTAGGATGAATTGCATTGTCAAGTCTGCCCAAGAACTGATACACGGTGTTTTTGGCAGGACGGCCCTCTATTGCTCATGCTCTTCATGCTCTTCGTCGATGTCCTCAATTACATGATCCAACATTTGACCAATTCCCATTTTCTTCAAGGCTCAGTACTCATCGTGCAACAACTAGCGTGTCCCTTTATGTCGATGATGTGGTTATCTTTTGCCCCCCCTCCCCCCAATAGCCATGATATGTCGACGGTCCGAGAGCTGCTTCGGGGCTCCACAATAACTCTCCCTAGTGCTCCTCCATGCTTGCTAAGTGTTCCGGCGAACATCTCACTGTTATCTTCAAGGAGATGTTGTGCCCCATTTCCACCTTTCTGGTGCAATACCTTGGCCTTCTGCTCTCCATCCGGAGCGTGCCGACTTCCACTGTCCTGCCACTTGTTGGCAAGCTTGAGAAGAAACTCTCCACCTTGCAGGCTTCAGTGCTCTCTCATGGGACATGCACTCTCTTGCTCGACTTGTCCTTGGTGCCATCCAGGTCCACTACCTCATCCTGTCGCCTTAAACAAGATATCCTGAAGCAGGTGAACCATGTCATTCACAGCTTCCTTTAGGTTGACCGCAACTCGTAAGGACAAACATGAGATCCAGTCTCAGCTGTTGCCGCCCGACCCTGCTTGAAGGGCTCGGGACCTGAGATCTCCAGCGCTCAGGCATCGCGTTGCGAGATCGCTAGCTTTGTTTCTAGAAGATGGGCCTGACCCATCCTTGAAGGCATCTACACCTACCCTGTGGCCCCGAGATCTAGGCAATACTTCCGCACCTCCATTTCCTAGACTTTAGAAAATGGGAGGTCTTGCCTCTTCTGGATGGATCACTGGATCGATGGAAAGTCCATCTCGAAGTTGACTCCCCTAGTCTATGCCCTTGTTCCTCACCATTGTCGGAAGGCCCGCACATTCCACAAGGTTTAGATCTTCGCTGCTTGGTTGAGGGGCGTGCTTGGTCCTACCGTGATGGTTTAGTACATCGAGCTTCTACGTCGGCAACGTCATACCACCCATTCGACCATCCTGGGTGATCTTCGGTGGAGTTGGACCTCCACCGAGAAGTATTTGTCCAAGCCTTGTTATGCCACGCTTCTCCTTGGCTTCATTCACACCCAACCTCCCCATTGGTGGCTCACATGGAACACCTAGGCCTCTATGTGTATCAAGGTTTTCATCAAGCTCACCCTTGCAGAACAAGTGTTGGACGACAAACTGCCTCACACGTAGGGGATTCCTCATGCCAAGTGTTGGACGACAAACTGCCTCAAACTGCCTCCACTCGTTTGC